TGTTGATGTCAATTAGATACACCCTGACAGTATTTCACTTGCCTCGAAGTATATAGTGTATATGTGTGAAGGGTGCCTTTTCGTTAATAGCATTAAAAAGGGTCTTCTGTGAATAGAAACCCGTTTGATTTAATGGGTTCTGTTAAGTGTGTTATCCTTTACATTTATGCCTCTACCTATAAAGTACACAATGCCTATATGTCAATAAATATACCAACATATATATATATATATAAAAATTATTGATTGTCAAACTCGAATCACGTGCGACACACGACTTTTGTTATTATCAGTTTCATATATGATCCCATATGCATAGTACAATTGGAAATGGTATATAAACAAATATTGAAGGGTTGTATGTAAATCAAAATCCACTGTATAAACATTAATCCTATTTTAATTTTTTCATTTATTCTTATTTGTTTTATATTTACTGTAATAATAATTTTTTTGGAAATTAAAAAATAATCCTAATTAAAAAAAGGGTAATTGTAAAATTATTAATTAAATTAATTAATAAGTGTCTGGTCTGATTTGCTGTTTCATCAAAATAAAGTTAAAAAATTTTTTGTTTTTTATTTTCAGAATCAGTGTTGAAAAATTATGATAATTTTCTATATATAAAACTAAGTGTGATAGCGCGAAGTATATAATTTATTCACTTCATGTGAATAAATTTACTTTTGGGATCTAAACCTCGCGGCTTTTTTTTTATACACGTGTCGTTGAACCCCTCTCTTTTTCTCTCTCTCTCTCTTGCACTCACTCACTATCATCAGTGTCACTTTCAGCATGGTTATGAATGTCAGACGTCTTTTTATTGTTTGACATCAACACTAAATATTCTTTAGATATATACTTTTTTTTTTTCATTTGCGCCACTTGTTTCAGTATATATGTTACTTTTTGTAATCCCTTTTTCTCCACCCCTTCATCATTTTTCTTCGAATGGCGCTACTGTGACGTCATCTTCATGAAGATTTTTCTTTTTTTGTGATGCTGTATATATGGCTCTCAGACCCCCTTTACTTTCTGCATAGTTGGTAGTCGCACTATAAATTGCGGGTTAAAGCAGATTTGAGATACACGCGCTTTTACAAGGCATTTTGTCTCCCTATGTGAAAAAGCGTCATTTGCCATGATTTATTCAGGAAAGAAATATATAAGAACTTTTGCCTCGCGCGCAGCATAAAATTTAGTTTTCCTTTCATATATAGTATACGAAAAATTTAGTTTGTGAAAAATGATTTGTCACTCGTTTTTATTCTATATAGAGATAATGAAAATTGTATTTTAATTTTTTTTTATGATATTATTTCGATTTTACAAATAATTAAATATTTTCTTTATCAGCGTTTTATTTGTTTATTTAAATAATACATTCTTCAAACAATTTTCAAAAAGTTTCTCTTTAATTTTCGCAACTTAGAAAATTGTTTTACAAACGAAAGTTATTTGTGAACGGGCAGAAAAAGTAATCTCCTTTTATATATATGGAATCCTCTCACTTTTATGAAACTTGTCCTTTTATATAAGTATAATGGTAGTAAAAAAAATTATAACTTCTCCATTTAAGGGTATGTGACTCTTATATATACCTAACAATCACAAGCAGATATTAAAATCTCTCAAATATTAAACGGAAGAGTAAATAAGTATACGAAGAGTAATTTATAAATCGAACATTAAATCTCGAAACAATAATTTGATTTGAAAAAAAATCTTGTTTGTGTTTGGACCAAATAATTATTTGAACCAATAATTTAATAATTAAATTTTTAATTTGAACCAATATAATTTTTCTATTTGAACTAAATAATTATTTGAACCACTAATTTCTGTATTTGAAGCAAAAATTTCTCTGTTTGAACTAAATAATTATTTGAACCACTAATTTCTGTATTTGAAGCAAAAATTTCTCTGTTTGAACTAAATAATTATTTGAACCACTAATTTCTGTATTTGAAGCAAAAATTTCTCTTTTTGGACCAAATAATTATGATGAAACAAAAAAAAAGGCAGGGTTAAAATAGAGCTTCTTCTTCAGCCCCAACTAGTTTGTTTTAGACGAATTTGGGGCTTCCCTACCTGAGCCCTACCAGAGCCCGATCAAAATTTCTTCACAGAAATTGTCACCTAGTCCGCATCATATTTTGTTAATAAATTTCCTGTCTTTTTTTTTTTTATTTTTATATGTCCTTATTGAAAATATTTTTTACTTTCACGAATAAGGAAACTCCTAACGATTTTATAAGGAAAACTTTATTTAAAAAAAATTTCGAAACTTAATATTTTTTTTTTCAACCGCGTTTTTAAACCAGTTTCCCTTGAGATTAAATCTGTTACAGTATATGTTTTCAAAAGGAGGTGTATATATATAATATAATATGGCTTCCTGGATGAAAAGAAGAAGAAGAAGTTTTTGGACGACCCGAGGACATGAGCGAGGGGGTTTTCGGTCGAAGTAGCCGCGCAGCTGGCTGAGATTGGTCGAGTGGTTTTTTAAAGGCCGCGCACTATATAGCAATTTCTTGCGCGCCTCCAACTTGAAAAAAAACCGGACCCAGAAAACTTGTCGGCAGATGGCACGCGCTGGGCCTAACGTACCTAAAAATAAAAATAAAAAAAAAAATCTCAAACTCGAGAGAGACCCTGCGCGCGTCCTGATGAAAGTGCCCTTGAGTCTCTTCTACCTTGCGCGCGGATCCCTCGGGGGGTCATCATATATACACGGTCGACTCGTGCCTTCTTCTAATTGGAAACTTTTTTAAAACACATTGTATAGAAAATAATATGATTTTTATGTTCCGGACCCCCTAAATGTTTTTTAATACCATTTTTTTTTTGGTTAAAAAACAAAAGAAATTTTTTAAGGGGGGGGCGGAACATAAAAATAACTGATTATCGATAAAAACAAAAATGAGAGAAATTTAATTTTTCCCAGATTTAATAAATTATATCGCGAATTTTTGCAGAAGGAAACTTGATGTCCTAGAAAAAAAAACCTTCGATGTCCAAACTTTCAATGATATATATTTCAATGGCATGGAATATTTATACGAAACCTGTGGAAAAAAAAAATTTTTTTTTATTAAAAAAAGAAGAAAAATTTATTTTACAATTATCACCAAATGAAAAAAACTACGGAAAAAAAATGCGTGAATGGGTAATATTTTCCTAAGAATATTTCCTAAGAAGCAGAGAAAAAAATATATTTTTATCTTCAGAGGAGCTTGTATTTCTTTCAATTTTATTTGCGCCAAATAATAAAATTTATGACAAACAAAAATTTTTTAGCTTGAAACAAATAAATAGTTCTTTCAGAGATAAATATAATTTTATATAAATAAAATCAATTTGTATCAATCAAAAGTTTATTTGCATCAATTTCTTTTTTTCAAAAAAAATTTATAAAAATAAACCAAACATTTACTGCAAATAAATTTTTGTATTAAACAAATTTGGTTGAAAATAAAATAAAGTTTGTTAATACAAAAAAAGGTATATTTGGTTCGAAAATTTTTCTCTCGAATCTAGTAGAAAATTTGTTCTAAATTTTTTTTAATAAAAAAAAAGATGAGGCTTTTTATAAGGGCTAAAAAGAGGTGAGAATATTAAAAGAAGAAATAGTTGGATTAATTTAAATGAAGACAGAGAAAAAAATGAGAAAGAGAAGGAAAAAGAGAAAAAAAGAGAGAGAAATAGATAGAGAGCATAAGGATGCTGCATGAAGGAAGCGATTTACGTGAGAAATTTTCAAGAAGGAAACTCGCACACAAGATCGGAAAGGGTCGAGAAAAATAAAAGACTACTATATATAAGCTATATCTTGGCAAGGGTAGTTGCTGATGCACACTCAAACGCGCCGTCAGAGTCCTGATGCTTCGTCTCCCGGAATACAGGTACTCAAAACATTTTTCTTCTTTCTCATACACAAACCGTACTCTCTACTCTTTTTCTTCTCTCTCTCTCTCTCTCTTGATTCAGGAATTTTTTTTTCCATTTTCCATCAGAAGTCATGGAAAATAACTTTCAGATTTCCATACGACGGACTTCTATTGGAAAGTGGAACAAATCCCTTGTCGATATATGTATATAGTCCAATCTCTCAAAAAGACTAACGCATCATACATATTTCACCTGAATATGAAAAGCAGAAAAATATATTTCACTACATATATTATTTCAGAAATATTCGATATTATATTTATTAGCCAAATTTCTAAATTTGAATTAGTTGAAAATAATTATGATAGAAAAAATTTATAGAGTACAAAATCGAAAAAATAAAAATTTATTTAAATATTAATTTAAACGATTCTTTCGGTATGAAATATAAATACACGTGGATCACTAATTATAGAAACAAATAATAATCTTAGATAATATTTATATATATATATGTGTGTGTGTGTTAAAATGATAATTATTTAAATTAGCAATGCTTTAAAATCTAAAAATTAATTCCTGGAGTGTCGCTGAGTTCCAAAGTACCGATCGTTGACTCACTTTTTAAATTTCAAGGTTTATCTAATTATAAAGAATATTAGTCAATTATAAAAATAAGAACTAGACAATTTTTTTTTCATAGGCTCAATTTGTGCAAAAAAAAAATGGTATAACTCGATTCTATATTGTATAATAAAATGGTTATAAAAATACTCGATTCTATATCCTATAAAAAAAAAAAATGTTTAAAAAAATACTGTATTTGTAAATATTATTAATTTTGTAACTAGTTATATTATCAAAAATGCATACAAGTATAGTGCGCAAAGTTCAACCTCGAAATGCAAATCAAGTGCAAAAACGAGTTAAACAAGCCCGGTTTTTTTTTCGATGCATACTTATAAATTTTATTGAATATGAGAAAGTGAGTTATGTAAAGTATCAAAATAACCTTTTTTTTTCTATATTACGCTCATATCGTTTTTTTTTAACGCATCTTATAAAAGGTGCGGAGAACTGAATTGAAGATTTCAGATTCATTTCTGATTTTGTTAATAAACTATCTCGTGATATACATTAAATTTTCAATTAATGTTTAATTAATATATAAACAGCAATTTTATTAAAAATATTGTAAAACGATTTTATTTTATTGAAAAAAAATTTATGCGCTTTCAAAAATGTTATTGACAATAATATTGTGTATTTTAGTATGTGTATTTGCAGTGATTTTTGGAATTTTACATTTTTTTGGAAATCAAGAATTACACAATAAAACAAGACACATTAATGGACCATTAATACTTCCTCTCATTGGATGTGGTTATCAATTTATTGGTGATTCTGCGCGTAAGATTTTTTTATTTTATTTTTTAATATACAGTGAAAAAAAAATTTATTTGATTCAAATAATCGATTACTTGAATTTATTATTTAATAAAAATAAAATAATTTTTTTCTTTAAATATAGATTTTATGAAACAACTTATAAAAAATAGTTGTATTTACAAATCACCATTTAAAATGACACTTGGATCTCGTGTATTTATTCTCACTAAGGATCCAGAACAGATAAAAGTAAGAAATTTATACTTTAAAGACTAAAAAAAAATTTAATTTTAAAATTATAAACAAAAATTATAAAAAATAAATTTTCTAATAAATTGTAATTAACTTTGTTTTGCAATTTTTTTTTATTTATGTTCAAGACTATTCTTCAGAGTTCGAAAACAGTTGAGAAAGATTATGTTTATGATTTTGCAAAACCCTGGGTTGGCAATGGATTAGTGACAGCCGAACGTAAGTTAGATATTTGAAAAAAAAATTTTTTAAAAAAATGATAAAAAAATTTCGATAAGAATAAATAAAAGAAATTTTATTTGAAATTTACTAATTTTTTATTACACTTACAAAAACTTTATAGATAAAATATGGCGTAATCATCGAAAACCGATTCAATCAACGTTCAATGCAAAAATTCTACAAACTTTTCTTGCTGTTTTTCAAAGAAATTCAATTTTATTAACAAAAACAATTGAGAATAAACTCAATGGTCCGGAATTTGACATTTCTCCCCATATTGCATTCATGGCTGTCAGTAATATTTGTGGTAATTTGTACTTAATTAATTTTTTTTTTATTTAAATATTTACATTTATTTTGTAATAGTTGCAATTTTTTTTGACAGAAACTTCAATGGGTGTTTCTGTAAAAACACAAAGAGAGGAAGTTGAACAATTTAATGAATTTTCTAAAAGGTAAAGTCCAAATTATTTATTTTTGAAAAAAATTATTTTTTACATGCATTAATTGTAGAAAATTTTAAAAATTACTATTTTTTTTAGGGTATTTAATGTATTGTTTAAACGATTAATTCAGGTGTGGTTACATTCTGATTTTTTATTTAGCATTAGTTCACTTGCAAAAAGTTTTAATAGTTACGTTACATATGTTCACAATTTCACTGATGAGGTAAGTTAATTTTTGTAAATTACATAAAATCATTAAATTAGCGGTAGAAAAAATAAAATTTAGCCTAATTTTTAATTACAGGTTATTAAAAAAAAGAGAGAAATTTTACAAAAAAAAACAAATGAAAATCAAAGTAATAATATTAATTATACAGAAGATAGTCAACAAAAGAGAAAACCAACTTTGGATTTATTATTAGAATTATCGGATAATGAATCCTTCATGGACAATGAACTTCGTGAACAAGTGGTGACATTGATAACTGCAGTAATGATAATTTTTTATTAAATTATAATTTTAGTTATTATTTTTTTATTTTATTTATTTATTCATAGAATTTTTTTTTTTGCGATTTATTTAAAGGGTGCTGATACCACAGGCAGAACAACGGATTTTCTTCTCCTTATGTTGGCACAACATCCAGAAGTCCAGGTGCTAATTATTTAAATATAAACTTGAAGATTATTATTTTAATCGTTAAGTACAAATATTCTTTTAACAATTCTAAAAATAGTAATAGAACTTCATTTTCTTCACTCAGAAGAAAAGTTTTTTTTTTGAACCAAATATTCCTATTTTATTGTATTAACGTTTTTGGTTGATTCAACCAAACGTTTGGTTAACTAGCAAAATGTAGTTGTTTAGAAAAAAATATATTTTTCTGAGTTTTCTTTCTCTTGAATGTCTTTGCTTTAAAAAAATTACATCTATGCTTAATCATTTAAAAAATTTCTTTTCTCTTTCTTTAATATATAAAAAAAAGGTTTTTATGATTATTACAATTTATCGATAATTATATTTAGGAAAAAGTTTATGAGGAAATCTTCAACATTTACGGTTCTGAAGAACCAGAAACAAATCCAGTGAAATATGAAGATTTACATCATTTCATTTATTTAGAACGTGTTATCAAAGAAACAATGAGACTATTTCCAATTGTACCATTACTTGCTCGTTTGGTTTTAGAAGATTTAGAATTAGGTATAAAATAAACACCAAAAAAAAACTTTTTTATTTCTAATATAAAATTATTTTTCTCTAAAAAATAATTTCCAAATCTTATGGAAATTAATTTTATTAAAAAAATTTATTTATTAGGATCAAAAATGATAGTTTTTAATTTCCAGATGGACAAACAGTGCCAAAAGGTTGTTCAGCGGTGATTCTTGTTTTGGCACTACATCGAAATGAACAACTTTGGCCCGATGCATTAAAATTTAATCCCGATAGATTTCTCTCCGAGGAAGTGAATAAACGTCATCCATGTTCCTTTATTCCATTTAGTTTTGGTCCCAGGGATTGTATAGGTATTTGGATTTTTAATTTGTTAAACAGAAAAATTTTCCCTAATCTTTTATTTAATAAATTTAATTTTATTAATTTAAATACATTTTAAAAATAAATTAAAAATTTTTTTCTAAATCCTTTTAGGTCGTGTTTATGCAATGATGTCTATGAAAGTGTTAATAGTAACATTTTTACGAAAATATATTCTGAAAAAGGATAAAATAACAGAAATCAAGGATATTGAATTAAAAGTGGACACAATACTTTTAACTTCTAAACCCATTACGTTAAGAATAGAAAAAAGATGAAAATGTAAAATTATAAAAATAAATAAATAAAATAAAAAATAATTAAGTAATTATAATAATAATAAAATAATATGATAACAATAAATGTAAAAAATGATACTAAAATATTTTCGATGGAATTATTGAATTACCTAATTATATTTTGGAAATTTTAAATCTTCTCATATAGGTATTTTTTGTTATATTTTACAAAAATTTTACTTTATTTTGTCATGGATTTAAAATTTTTATATTATCATTATTTTTAATCTATATTATTTTAATTCAATTTATTTTTTTTTGCTATAGCATTCTTAATTTATTATTTCAACGATTGATTCGAATTTGGTTACATTGGGACATGATATTTAATTTAAGTGAATTGTCAAAAATATTTTATGGCTCCGTTAATTAGATTTACAATTTTACAAATAACGTGAGTTTAAATTTTTTAATTAATATTTTTAATTTTAAACAATTCAGAAACATTCGATATTATATTTATTATCCAGATTTCTAAATTTGAATGAGTTGAAAATAATTAATTTGATAGAAAAAATTTATTTATTTACTTTTATAGAATAGAAAATCGAGAAAATGAAAATTTATTAATTTAAACATTAATTTAAACGATTCTATTATGAAATGTAAACACACGTGTACCACTAATTATTCTATAAAAAAATGGTATATTAAATAAAATGTATAAAAAAATACTGTATTTGTAATTATTATTAATTTTGCAACCTGTTAAGTGCAAAAAAAGTTAAACAAGCCCGGTTTTTTTTTCGATGCATACTTATAAATTTTATTGAATATGAGAAAGTGAATTATGTAAAGTATCTAAATTACTTTTTTTTTCTAAATTACGCTCATACCGTTTTTTTGTTTAACGCATCTTATAAAAGGTGCGGAGAACTGAATTGAAGATTTCAGATTCATTTCTGATTTTGTTAATAAACTATCTCGTGATAGTTAATTAATGTTTAATTAATATATAAAAGGCATTTTATTAAATATTATAAAACTATTTTATTTTATTGAAATATTGTAGAAAAAAACTTATGAGCTTTCAAAAATGTTATTAACAATAATATTGTGTATTTTAGTATGTGTATTTGCAGTGATTTTTGGAATTTTACATTTTTTTGGAAATCAAGAATTACACAATAAAACAAGACACATTAATGGACCATTAATACTTCCTCTCATTGGATGTGGTTATCAATTTATTGGTGATTCTGCGCGTAAGATTTTTTTACTTTATTTTTTAATATACAGTGAAAAAAAATTTATTTTATTCAAATAATCGATTACTTGAATTTATTATTTAACAAAAATAATATAATTTTTTTTTAAATATAGATTTTATGAAACAACTTATAAGAAATAGTTATATTTACAAATCACCATTTAAAATGACACTTGGATCTCGTGTATTTATTCTCACTACGGATCCAGAACAGGCAAAAGTAAGAAATTTATACTTTATGGACTAAAAAAATTTTTAATTTTAAAATTATAAATTTCAATAATTATAAAAAATAAATTTTCTAATAAATTGTAATTGACTTTGTTTTGTAATAATTTTCATTTATTTATGTTCAAGACTATTCTTCGCAGTTCGATTGAGAAAGAGAAATTTTATGATTTTGCAAAACCCTGGGTTGGCAATGGATTAGTGACAGCTGAATGTGAGTTAGATATTTGAAAAAAAATTTAAAAAAAATCATAAAAAAATTTTGATAAGAATAAATAAAAGAAATTTTATTTGAAATTTACTAATTTTTTATTACACTTACAAAAAACTTTATAGATAAAATATGGCGTACCCATCGAAGACCGATTCAATCAACGTTCAATGAAAAAATTCTAAAAACTTTTTTTCCTGTTTTTCAAAGAAATTCAATTTTATTAACAAAAACAATTGAGAATAAACTCAATGGTCCGGAATTTGAAATTTCTCCCCATATTGAATTCATTTCTTTCAGTAATATTTGTGGTAATTTGTAAATCATTATTTTTTTCTTATTTAAATATTTCCATTTATTGTGTAATAATTGTAATTTTTTTTTTTTTTGACAGAAACTTCAGTGGGTGTTTCTGTAAAAACACAAAGAAAGGAAGTTGAACAATTTAATGAATTTTCTAAAAAGTAAAGTCCAAATTATTTATTTTTGAAAAAAATATTTTTTACATGCATTAATTGTAAAAAATTTAAAAAATTACGATCTTTTTATTTTTTTTAGGGCATTTAATGCAATATTTAAACGATTAGTGCAGGTGTGGTTACATTCTGATTTTTTATTTAGCATTAGTTCACTTTCAAAAAGTTTTAATAGGTACGTTACATACGTTCACAATTTCACTAATGAGGTAAGTTAATTTTTGTAAATAACATAAAATCATTAAATTAACGGTAAAAAAAAATAAAATTTAGCCTAATTTTTAATTACAGGTTATTAAAAAAAAGAGAGAAATTTTACAAAAAAAATCAAATGAAAATCAAAGTAATAATATTAATTATACAGAGGATAGTTTTCAAAAGAGAAAACCAACTTTGGATTTATTATTAGAATTATCGGATAATGAAGCCTTCATGGACAATGAACTCCGTGATCATGTGTTGACATTGATAACTGCAGTAATAATAATTTTTTTTATTAAATTATATTATATTTTTAGTTATTATTTTTTTATTTTATTTATTTATTCATAGAAAATTTTTTTTTTTTGCGATTTATTTAAAGGGTACTGATACCACAAGCAGAACATTGGATTTTGTTCTCCTAATGTTGGCACAACATCCTGAAGTCCAGGTGCTAATTATTTAAATATAAACTTAAAGATTATTATTTTAATCGTTAAATACAAATATTCTTTTAAGAATTCTAAAAATAGTAATAGAACTTCTTTTTCTTCACTGAAAAGTTTTGTTTGAACCAAATATTACTTCTATATGTTTAATTCTGTTTAATTCATTTAAAAAAAAAATTCTTTTTTTTTATTTATTATGTAAAGAAATGTTTTTATGATTATTAAAATTTATCGATAATTATATTTAGGAAAAAGTTTATGAGGAAATCTTCAACATTTACGGTTCTGAAGAACCAGAAACAAATCCAGTGAAATATGAAGATTTACATCGTTTCATTTATTTAGAACGTGTTATCAAAGAAACAATGAGACTATTTCCAATTGCACCATTTCTTCCTCGTTTGGCTTCAGAAGATTTAGAATTAGGTATAAAATAAACAATAAATTAAGTGAAAATTTTTTTAATAAAATTATTTTTCTGTAAAAAATAATTTCAAATTTTTATGACATTGTGCAAATTTTATTCCAAAATTTTTTCAAAAATAATCATTTTTAATTTTCAGACGGACAAATAGTGCCAAAAGGTTGTGCAGTGGTAGTTTTAGTTTTGGCAATACATCGAAATGAACAACTTTGGCCCGATGCATTAAAATTTAATCCCGATAGATTTCTCTCTGATGAAGTGAATAAACGTCATCCATGTTCTTTTATTCCATTTAGTTTTGGTCCCAGGGATTGTTTAGGTATTTGGATTTTTAAATTGTGTCAAACAATTTTTTTTGTTTCTCTAATCTGTTATTTGATAAATTTTTATTTTTTAACAATTTAAAAAAAAATAAATTAAATTTTTTTTGAAAATCCTTTTAGGTCGTGTCTATGCAATGATGTCTATGAAAGTGTTAATAGTAACATTTTTACGAAAATATATTTTGAAAAAAGATAAAATAACAGAAATTAAGGATATTGAATTAAAAGTGGACATAGTGCTTTTAAGTTCTAAACCCATTACATTAAGAATAGAAAAAAGATGAAAATATAAAATTATAAAAATAAATAAATAAAATAAAAAGTAATTATGTAATTATAATATTAATAAAATAATATGATAACAATACATTGTAGTTAAATAAATAACAATAAAAGTAAAAATGATACTGAAATATTTTCAATAGAATTAGTGAATTACTTAATTATATATTTTGGAAATATTTTCTTATATATTTTTTGCCAAAACTTTAACGAAATTTTACTTCATTTTGTCAAGGATTTAAAATGTTTATATTATAAAATATTCAAGCGCTGATTTCTTTTTCGAGGTCGTTAACCTTTCTTCTACCTTTAGGATATTTTTACAATATATGTATATATAATGATATAGGTATATACATATAAATAACCCGTATATGATTAAGATAATAATGAGTTTCATGAAAATTATACTTTTCTCGTTCGGGCAAAGAATCGATTGTAATCAAGCGGAGGTCTTTATATATATATATATAGTTACAAAGTCTCTTTAGATCTTTGGAAAATGTTGGGAGAGTTTAGAGTATAGTACATAGTGTAATAGTTAGCGACGAACTGCTACCGCGCGTTTGAACAAGATAACAACCAACGAAGATCAGTTTTGTTACAACCATACTATATATAGGGCTTGTCTAACAACTTTGACCCTCATTATCACACAATTACTTCCTATTTCCAAGTGTGTTGTGAACTATTCGATTGGGCTTTTAAGCAAAATTAAACGCGTCTTTTGTCTCGTCTATAAAAAACTTTTTTTTTATATCACGCTAACTACCAAAACTTTATCTTATCAAAAGTAAATTTTTTTTTCTCTCGATGTCGTACAAGTAAAATTGCTTTTTCAATACTGGAGACTAAACTGATCTTTTTTTTATCCTAGGGAGTATAATGGTATTTATAACCCTATAGAGAGTAAAATAATCATTTTTTACCCTAAGGAACAAAATTGAGTTTTATAATTCTAGAGAGTAAAATAGCCTTTTTTATTCTAGGGATTAAAACGGCGTTTATAACCCTAGAGAAAAAAATAGAATTTTTTTACCCTAGGGAATGAAATTTAGTTTACAACCCTAGATAATAAATTAGTTTTTACCATAGGAATTAAAATGGCGTTTATAATCTTAGAGAGTATAATAGCCTTTCTTATTCTAGGCAGAAAATAGTGTTTTGTAACCCTAGGGAGTAAAATAGTATCTTTAACCCTAGGGAGTAAAATAGCCTTTTTTATTCTAGGGAGAAAAATAGCGTTTTTTACCATAGGGATTAAAATGGCATTTATAACCCTAGAAAGTATAATAGCCTTTTTATTCTAGAGAGAAAATAGTGTTTTGTAACCCTAGGGAATAAAATAGTTTCTTTAATTCTAGGGAGTAAAATGGCGTTAATAATCCTATAGAGTATAATAGCCTTTTTATTCTAGAGAGAAAATAGTGTTTTGTAACCCTAGGGAATAAAATAGTTTCTTTAATTCTAGGGAGTAAAATGGCGTTAATAATCCTATAGAGTATAATAGCCTTTTTATTCTAGAGAGAAAATAGTGTTTTGTAACCCTAGGGAATAAAATAGTTTCTTTAATTCTAGGGAGTAAAATGGCGTTAATAATCCTATAGAGTATAATAGCCTTTTTATTCTAGGCAGAAAATAGTGTTTTGTAACCCTAGGGAGTAAAATAGTATCTTTAACCCTAGGGAGTAAAGTGGCCTTTTTTATCCTAGGGAGAAAAATAGCGTTTTTTAACCCTAGGGAGTAAAATGGCGTTTTTTACCCCTAGGGAGTAGAATAACGCGTATAACCCTAGATATTACAAAACCTAAACGCTGTAATTAAATCGCATTTTTGTCTAATAAAAAATAGTAATTGCAAAAAAAAAAATTCATAAATTCAAAAAAAAAATACTAAATTGAATTTTGAACTAATTACACAAATAAATTACAAATTCAATAATATAATTGCCGTTGACATTATTTGATAATGGATATGACTTGAATAATATGATTACATTTATAAGTTGATGTAATTAAAAGCATGATACCAAAAGAGAGAGATAGAGAGAGAGAGAAAATTGTAATTTTGAATTGCATTTCGCGTTAACAAAATAATGGTTTATGATGAAGAATGCACGTGAGCTCGCATGTCTGATAACTGCTCGCATCCGTAATGAGATTAGTTTAGCTTTGCGTAAATGAACCAACGAATTGGGATCCAGTTTAGCCGTCAAATCTCTTTATCCTGCGGTTTTAGTGGCTTGGAAAATATTTCCCTCCCGACAGGTGCTTTACATTTTTTTTTTTTATAGGGTTACATGGGTATAAAAAATAAAAATTTTTTAGAATACTTAAATTGATCAAATTAGCAAAATTTTTCTAAAAATTTTCATAATAGAATAAATAAAAAAGAAGAGTATATTTTTTTTGATAAGAAAAATAAAGTTTAATTTAAAACTCAGAAAATGGAAAATAAAAAAAGAGGGGGGAGGGAGATGAAAGTGAAAGTGAAAGAAAAAAAAGTGTGATAAGAACAAGAACAGAGATATATATCTTGAGGACGAGTTTAAATTTAAAAAGGAAGGAAGTCATGATGGCATCGGTCTCTCGAAGACTTTTGTCGAGATTAAAAAAGAAATACGGATTTTGTTGAGGCGTAGAATCGTAGAGAGTCAGAGAGATAAGAGGTCAAAAGGGTGGAGAACACTGAGAGTTAAGTTTAAATTCTCTCTCTCTCTCTTTTTTCTTTCCTCTCTGTCTTCAAAAAGGGGGCGTCCCATATCTTTTTTTCTTTGGCTAAAATTAATTACCCATTAACATCTGTTTTTTTTTCAATAAAATTTTCAATTTTATTTTCCAAATGAATATTTCAAATTGTAAGAAAAATAAATTTCTTTTTTATACACAAATAAATTTATATTAAATTCAAATAATCGGTTACTTGAGTATTATCAAATAAATATTTACTTGAACCAAATAATTTAGAAAAAATATTTCAATTTGTAGTTTCTTAATCTTTATGAGTAGAACAAGTTGCCAAATGTAAAAAAGAGCAATCTCACTACGAACATTGTAAATTTTCATAATACGAAAAAAAAATACGAAACTCTTTTCTTGCATAAGGGGTTTTTTTTTTGCATAATCTAACAAAGTGCACGAAGCAATCAAGAGGAAGGTACATTTTATAATAGTAAAATACGATTTTGAATGGCGCTTGTACATTTATAATAATAGAAAAAGCAAAAGTTCAGCCAAAGTGGAACCACTTATCATGTAAAACAACGGGTACGAAGTAGAAATAAGACGAAAGGACAAATAGCTCAGAAGGCTCTTAAAATAAATGGCTCTCGTTCATCTCCCTCCTGATGTTGCTGCAACTGCATCCGCACTTCGTCCCCTGCGAATTTTCTGCTGGATTTAGATTACTCACGTATTCTGTAAATTGAAGTTTTAAAATTTAAATATTTTCAAATTTGTTGACAGAAATTTTCATTTTTTGTCACTATATCATTTTACAAAAAAAAAAATTAAAATTCCATGAAACTCATTATATTTTTTTCAAAATAACTTCCTCATCTTAAAAATGAATAATTAGAAAATTATAATAATTAGTCGCATTTTTATTAGAATTATAAAATCAAAATGAAGAGATTAAAGTTTATTTTTGAAAAAAATTTCGTATAAATTTAAATACATTTTTTTAATAAAACTGACGTCATTAGAGAATAATAATTAAAGAAAAATAATTTAATTGGTATTTGGAAATAAAGATTTTTTTTTATAGATAAAACCATGATTGAATAAAAATCTTTTATTAGATTTTACTTAACATGAAATAGAATCCGGAAAAAAATTCCTAAATGTAAATATTTTTTTCTCTAATGTATTAAACTTTACCATATCATGATGACGTATTGTCACGGTGTTTTTACCAAGTGATGATTTGATAAATAGAAAAAAGATTTCATTTAAATATATATTGAGATAGAAAATTTTCGATAGTCGTATTTTTTATTTCATCAGTATCAGAAGGATGCTGCTGTTAAAAAAATTTTTAGTTAAAGGAAATAAAATTTATATAAATTTATATAAATTTATATAAATAAAATTTATATTTTAACTATAGTAAAATTAATAATATTTTGCGAAAAGTTTAAACAAAAAAAAGTTTCGCGTCTATTAATAAAAAGATACAACGAAGTTTATATAAAAAAAATTATTAAAAAAAAAAAACTCAAAAAAAAGTTGGCAATTAAAAAACAATGGTGCCGTTAATATTATTGAGCGTAATTAGTGTATTATTGGTGTATTATGCAATTTTTCATTTTTCCGGACATAGAGAAATTTACAAGAAAATAGCAAATATTCCTGGACCAAGAGCAATTCCTCTACTTGGAACTGTTTCCCTTTATGTTGGAGACTCTGCACGTAATTATATGAAATAATTATTTTTTAAAATTTTTTCCTATTAATATTTTTTTTTTAGATTTTGCTGAGGAATTATTAAAAATGGGTCAAATTTATACTTCACCATTTCGTGTTATAATTGGAACTCGAGTATTTGTTATCTTTAAAGATCCAGATCAAATAAAAGTAATTGTCCAATTTTTATGAACATAATGTTAAATTTTTTTTTTTGCAAGTTTACAAAATAGCTATATAATAAAATAATAGACAATAAATATAATTTAAAAAAAAATAATTTTTTTTTCAAGACTGTTCTTCATAGTTCTAAGGCAGTTGAAAAAGATTTTGTTTATAAATTCGCTAAACCTTGGCTGGGTAATGGATTAGTGTTAGCTGAACGTAAGTTAAAAATTTGTATAGTAATTAATAATTTTTCTTTAAATTAAATTTTTGATCTTCTGTATTTTTTTTTATAGTAAATTGGACTATTTAGAAAATTTCATTTTTTAAATTATTTTAAAAAATTATTCTTTCTTTTATTTAATAATTTCATTAAATTAAAAATGACCATGTTGTAATGGTAAACATTTTTTTTTTTAGATAAAATATGGCGTGTTCATCGAAGGCTAATACAACCGACTTTTAATCAAAAAGTTTTACAATCTTTTGTTACGATATTTCAAAAAAATGCCCTTTCACTTGTACAGTCTGTCAATGAAAAAATTGACGGGCCCGAATTTGAATTGTCATCCAATATTTTATTCACAACTTTCACTAATATTTGTGGTAATAAAAAAATTCAATATTAAAATTATTTAATTATTTATGTTTACTATTTATTTTTTTAGAAAATTAGAAAAAAAAAATTATTATTTTATTTGCAGAAAGTTCTATGGGTATCGAGGTAGAAACAAAAAGAAATGAAATGCTAAATTATTTTAAAGCAACACAAAGGTGGAATTTTAATTAATAATTTTTATTAAAATTATATATATATAAAAATTAATAACAATAATTTTGAAAAAAATTACTTATAAAAATTATTTATACAATTTTACAAAATTTTACATCTATATTAAAATATTTTAATTCAATTTATTTATTTATTGTTATAGCATTCTTAATTTATTATTTCAACGATTGATTCGAATTTGGTTACATTGGGACAAGATATTTAATTTAAGTGAATTGTCAAAAAAATTTTATGGCTCCATTAATCAGACTCACAATTTTACAGATAACGTGAGTTTCAATTTCTATTGTTTATTTTTTTCCTTTATTTTTTTATTTAAATTTTTATTTATTTATTTAACAAGTTGATGGAACAACATTTCGTTTTTATTGAAAATTTAAATATTTCAGGTAATACGAGAAAAAAAAGAATATTTGCAAAGTATTCCTATTGAAAATAAAGGTAAAAATACTAAATTCTTATAATTTTTTCTTATTTCATAATAAATGTAATAATGAAGTGTTATTAAATTATTATTTTTTTATATTATTACAATTATTGCATTAAAACATTTATAGAAGATGATATAGATAAGAGGAAACCAACTTTGGATTTGCTACTAGAATTATCAGACAATGGAGACAAATTAACTGACCAGGATATTCGAGATCAAGTGCTTACAATGATATTTGCTGTAATTATTTTTTAATTATTATTTTCAATTTAAAGTAAATCTACTTGTATTTTTATAATTAAAATTTTAATCATAATTTTTGGTTTTATTTGTAATTTTTATGTTTTAATAATAATTTCATTACAATTATAATTGTTAATTATATTTTTAATTAAAATTTGTTAATTATAATTATAATAATTATAATAATTAATTATAATTAATTAATTATTATAAATTAATAATAGTTTTTTACAGGGATCGGATACCATTGCTCGAACTACTGAATTTCTTTTTTTTATTCTTGCTCAACATCCTGAAATACAGGTAATTTTTAATAACAATTATAATAACTATTAAATTATTGATAAATAATTAAATTAATTTTCTAAATTATAATATATGAACATTATTATTTTAGGATAGAGTTTACGAGGAAATATTCAACATTTACGGCACTGACGATCCGGAAGAAAATCCAGTTAAAAGTGAAGATTTACAACATTTAGTTTATTTAGAAAGAGCCATTAAGGAGACGATGCGTCTTTTTCCAGCTGCACCAATGGTTGCACGTAAAGTTACTGAAGATCTAGAAATAGGTATATTTTCAATAAAGATACAAATTTTAACTAATTATTTATTATTACATTTTTTTTAAATTTTGTTTAATACATTTTTTTAATTTTTTACAGATGGTTATACAATTCCCAAAGGTTGTGCAGTAGCTGCTTCTATCATTGCTGTTCATCGAAGTGAAAAATTTTGGCCTGATCCATTAAAATTTGATCCAGATCGATTTTTACCTGAAGAAATACATAAACGACATCCGTTAGCTTTTATGCCATTTTTATTTGGTTCCAGAGATTGTATAGGTATATTACCATTTTTTTTTTGTTTTTAAATAATAAATAGATTTTAATTATCAATTTTTCTTTTGAAATTTACAGGTCGAGTATATGCAATGATGCAAATAAAAGTGCTTGCTGCAACTTTTCTGCGAAAATATATTTTAAAGAAGGACAAAATAACGGCAATTAAAGATATGAAACTAAAAACAGATGCTTTACTCAAATTAGCTGATCCTGCATCTGTTCGACTAGAAAAAAGAGTGAAATAATAGAAATAATTTTTTAAATTAAATTTTTAATTAGTTTCCTTTAATTATATAAACGAGACATAACTTTTGACCTAGTGATGCAATTTATCAGAAAAAGTTGATTGAGAGAAAAACAAAGTAAAAATTAATTTTTAATATCATAATAATAAAAGTTTACATAAATCAATTGTATCAGATATCAAAGAAGCAACAAAAAGGTTGCAACAAAAAAAAAATACAATAAATTTAGAAATAAATAAAAGTAAAATAGATAATAAAAAATAAACTAATTAATATTTTTTTCAAATATGATTATACATTGTAGACTTAATAATGCAAAAAATTTCAAAGTAAAATTAAATATTCAAAGTTTTTTATTAATATCATTTACGACATTTACATATCAGAAGGTCATTCGATATTCTCATGTAGCATTATTAAAATGTATGTATTTAATGAATGCAATGTAGTCAATGAAAAACTGATAACTCGAGTAAAAAATTTATTAAAATTCTTTAGCAATAAATTCTTCTCTACAATGTATACTTCGATATACGATAAAATGTATAAAATATGTTTCATTTAAGTATACATTGATATAGAAAATTATCAATAGTCGTGTTTTTAATTCTCCACAACCAGAAGTATTTTGCTCTCAATAAAAATTGTTAATAAAATAATTAACTAATATAATTTTACAGATAATGTGAGTTTTAATTTCTTTTCTTGAATTTTATTTTTAGTTGAATTAAATTGTTATTTACGATTTTTTGATATTTCAGGTAATACGAGAAAAAAAATAATATTTACAAAATGTTCCTATTGAAAGCAGAGGTGAAGAAAAATAATTTTTATAGCTGAAATTTTTTTTTTTTATTTTTTTATAATAATAACATATGTAATAATAAGGTGTAATGGTTCATAGAAAATGACATAGTGAAGAGAAAACCCACTTTACAATTGCTGTTAGAATTATCAGACAATGGAGACAAATTAACTGACCAGGATCTTCGAGAACAAGTGCTTACACTATTATTTGGTGTAATTATTATTTTCACTATTATATTGTTTCTAGTTTAATCATTTTTTATTCTGATAATTAAAATTTGTTTCTTTTTTCTATATAGGGATCGGATACTACAGCAAGAACCATTGAATTTCTTTTTCTTATGCTCGCTCAACATCCAGAAATACAGGTAATTATTTTTTTTTTTTTAAATATAAAATTCAATTTTTATTATATGTAATTATAATTATAGGATAGAGTTTACGAGGAATTATTTAATATTTACGGCGTTGACGATCCGGGAAAAAATCCAGTAAAAAGTGATGATTTACAAAATTTACAATATCTAGAAAGAGTAATTAAGGAGACAATGAGACTATTTCCAGCTGTGCCAATAATTGCACGTGAAGTTACTGAAGATCTAGAAATAGGTGTAATTTTCAATAATGAGAAAAATTTTAACTCATTATTTATTTATTACACTTTTTTTTAAATTTTGTTTAATACATTTTTAATTTTTTACAGATGGTTATACAATTCCCAAAGGTTGTGCAGTAGCTGCTTCTATCATTGTGCTTCATCGAGATGAAAAATATTGGCCTGATCCATTAAAATTTGATCCAGATCGATTTTTACCAGATGAAATACATAAACGTCATCCGTTAGCTTATATGCCATTTTTAATTGGTTCCAGAGATTGTATAGGTATATTTTTTCAAAAACAAAAAAATTAAAGGAAATTAAAATTTAATTTTAATTTCAAAATTTTCCACTAATCTTCAATTTTCAGGTCGAGTATATGCATTAATGTCAATAAAAGTGATTGCAGCAACTTTTCTGCGGAAGTATATTTTAAAAAAGGACAAAATCACGCCAATTAAGGATATGAAACTTAAACCAGACGTTTTGCTTAAATTAGCTGAGCCTTCAACTTTTCGACTTGAAAAACGAGTAAAATAACTTTCTTATATTTAAGATAACACATTATTTTTCTAATTTATTCTAAAATTTAGAATATATAAATTTTTTTGCTATTGTTTGTTTTGTCATCTCATTGAGTTTATTATTAAAAATTATGATTACTATTTTACTTGTTATTGCTTTCTATTGCTTGGCTGTTATTTTAAAAAAATTTAAGAAAAAACTATAAGCAAATGATTTATGACATCATTTTCTTTCAAAAAAAAAAATATAGTTTTCAATTTTGTCGTAAAAAAAAAGAAAATAATATGATTCTTTTTGGCCTAGAGATTGCGAGAAGAAAACTAATAAACACTCATATTTCATTAATTTTACGATTTAAAATTCCTCCTGAGAGTTTATATTTGAATTTCACTGCGTTGAAAATTTCTCATGATTTTCTGAGTATTTTCACCCTTCTTTAACAAGCTGAAATACAAAACTCGGAGAGTTTATGTTACACCCTCGTAAAAGTCATAAAATAGGTCCCTGTGACGAAAAAATAAGATTAACTTATTTCAACTTTTCTCTTGTGACATTCATAAAGAGAAAGAGAGACATCAGGTCAACATTTTTTTTTTTCATTAATTTTCATTATAATTTGATAATTAAATTAAAAATATATCTCATTTTTGTGTTTTATAATTTTATTTCTTTTTTTACATTTTATTTATAGCAATAAATTTTATTTTAAATTTATTTCTTAATAATGTAAAAATCAAACATAGAAATTGTTATGCAAATACATAGTTGCAAAAAAAAGCTTCGGTATTGACGATAAAAGTTGATCAACTTTATGATCAGTTATGCTATAAAGCAATCAACTCATGAAGTTGGGGGAGGGGGATGAAAAATTACAAAAATTCCGCTTATGGCTTATGAGCCTGTTGACATTACTAAAATATGTATAAAATATTGGAATACAATTTATTCTTCTGTTTTTTAAAAAAGAGTTTATTCATTTTTGCTTTTTTATGATTTAATCCTATATAATAAAAATCATCGTATGAAAGTAATAAAATTGAATCTATAGTACACATATGTATAATAAATAAATAACTATATAGTAAATAAAAATTTAAAAAAAATTTAAATTAACCTTCTGGTTTATGTGCTTAGAACTAGATCAAAGGCATAGCATTATTTTATATGTATAGTCATGGATATTGAACAACCCCTCTTTCTCTCTATTATGTGTGTGGTCCCCCTTAATAGTGCATTACCTGTAAATGGTTTCAATAGAAGCAGGGGTGTATATCCTATCCGTTTAATATTTTGGATTATATTAAAGGTTCATATTGGAATCTATGGGTGACGCAAGGATATCGATTTGTGTATATGTTCATTACCCTTCACATATATCGTCAAATTAATAGGCTTGTCACAGTGTCATCTTTACCGTGAAATTCCAAGTTTATCCCTTCACACATGAGTCAATTATATTTAAAGATAACTGTCAAATACATCGTTTTTTAAAATTTACAAAAATTCCATTTTTTTTAAATTTTGAAGTTTATTTTGTTTTCATTTTGAAGTTTATTAGAAAAATTTTTTATTTTGTTAAAATTAAATTATTTAGTACTATTTTTTAAATGTTAATTGAAACTAATTTAAAGATCCATTGAACCTACTTTGAACCTACAGAGAACCTAAATTAGACCTACACAGAAGCTACAAAAGAACCTACATTAAACTTGCATTGGACCTATTTTGAGCCTATGTGGGTCCTAAATTGTATCTACTTCGACCTATATTGAACCTATTTTGAACTATATAGAACTTACAATTGAACTAAGTAGAACCTACAGTAGACCTATATTTAATTACCTACCTTCATTGAACCTTATTGGACCTACATAGAATCTACAATTGACCTACGCAGAACCTATAGTAGACCTACGTAGAACTTACAATTGACCTATATAGAACCTACAATAGACCTACGTAGAACCTACAATTGTCCTACGTAGAACCTACAGTAGACCTAAATTTTATTACCTACTTTCACTGAACCTTATGGGACTTACGTAGAATCTACAAATGACCTATGCAGAACCTATAGTAGACCTACGTAGAATCTACAATTGACCTTCGTAGAACCTACAATAGACCTACGTAGAACCTAAAATAGACCTACGTAGGACCTACAATTGACCTACGTAGAACCTACAATAGACCTACGTACAACCTAAAATAGACCTACGTAGGACCTACAATTAACCTACGTAGAACCTACAATAGACCTACGTAGAACCTATAATAGTCGTACGTAGAACCTACAGTTGACCTACATTTAATTACCTACCTTTATTGAACCTTATTGGACCTACATAGAATCTACAATTGACCAACGCAGAACCTATAGTAGACCTACGTAGAACTTACAATTGACTTATGTAGAACCTACAATAGACCTACGTAGAACCTACAATTGTCCTACGTAGAACCTACAGTAGACCTACATTTTTTACCTACCTTTACTGAACCTTATGGGACCTAAGTAGAATCTATAATTGATCTACGCAGAACCTATAGTAGACCTACGTAGGACCTACAATTGACCTTCGTAGAACCTACAATAGACCTATACGTAGAACCTAAAATAGACCTACGTAGAACCTACAATAGACCAACATTAAACCTACATTGAACCTCTGTGAACCTACATTTCACCCTTATTGAACCTACATTGGACTAAAGGTAAGGCCTACTTTATTACCCTCTAAAATTAACCTTTATAAATTAAAAATCACCTTATCTTCTATTAAAAAAAATAACTAAAATTTTCATTTAATCATTCGTAATCTAAACGACATAGATTGATGTCCTGTCGTGTAAAAAAAAAATTTTCTTTTCCCCTCAAGAAAATGACTATTTTTAAAGAATCCCTCTTTCGTCGGAAACTTTTTTTTGAGCGCGCAATATTTTATCAATAAGTCCTCATTATCATGAAGTTTAAAAACATGTGAAAAAATGTTGAGTGTTATTTTTAGACATAATGAGTATATCCTATCGTAATGCTCTACATATTATATAAAAAAAAAGAAGAGTCTTTTTTAATGTATAGTAAAAAGGGCTTCTGCTTCTCTTCCGGTTATTTTAGAACGTGACTCTCTTTTCTCTCTCTCTCATTCTCTAACTCAACGGGGTTAAATATTGAGGATTCAAAGGGGTTAGAAAAAGGTCTGAGAACCCCTGGGTTGAGAACCGATATTTGAAGAGAAGAGAGAAAGAGAGAGAGAGAGAGAGGAGTGGGTGGTCAAGTATAGGCGAATGAGATGTGGGATTGCGCACTGATGATGCGCGTGGCTCGCACTACTCCCGACTTGTTCGCAGAGCGAGCGTGGTTGCCCAACAAGGCGCATCTCTTCTTCAAATATTCCGCTCGGCCTTAATTCCCGCCGTCCTTCAAAAATCAACAAAAAAAAAAAAATAATCGTTTACTAATTACCGCGAAATTTTTTTCCACTCCCCACGTGTCGTGGAAAAATTATCTCCCCCCACTTCAAAATAGTAAATTTTTTTTCAGGTCAAAATAAGACCTTTTTTTTGACAAATTTTATTTTGATTTTCTTTTTCAAACCTTAATTATTTAATTCTTTAATTTGCTGTATTTTTAAACAAATTTGTTTTTTTTTGTTTAAAAGAGGCGCAGTAAATAGTGCAAAAAATTTTCGATGATTTATGATGTAGATTATTGAAAAATAATAATAAGACATTTTTCACCGTACAGAGCGACCTTGGATGTGTTGAAATTGAATTTAGGAAGAGGAAAGAAAAAAGAAAAGGTTGTGACCGCAAAACCAGGTAGTAGATCCAATTACTTTGTGTGGAACCTTGGGGTCGCGTTTGCTATTGTTGACATTGTTCTAAATAAGGGGGGCACGTGAATTTCATCAAGACGATATAGGCGTTTCATTTTTGTGGAAGAGGATTTAAAGATAACAACAAAGTCGTTGAAGAAAGTTCGCGAGTGACGTGTTTAATTTGTGAAATTCGTGTGGTGCTATCAAAAAATTTTTTTTTTAAATTTAAATTGCAATTTTGAACCGATTTTTTTTTTGTCTTTTAAGTGATTATCAAGAAGTGTTTTTACCCTACAAAAGTGACATTGAATTTTGTGAATCTTCATCGATCAACTTCATCAATATTTTTCGAGAATATTTCGGTGAGTTTTTGAAATAACTTTTTAATATTTTTTGAATATTTATACATTTTTTGGTTTAAAATTTTTTTAGAATTTTTTACACTGATCTATAAGATGCAATGCTATTAAATTTACCTAAAATTTGATTATAAAATAGCGTTGCATAATGATAATAATAATTTGTGTTTATGATTTTGTGTCCAAATAATAATTTGCAGAGGTCAAAATAATGCTCTCTACAAATTAGTTTTATGGATATTTTGCAAGCTATTAAAATAAAATCCCAATGTTTTTATTTTAATCTTGATAATAAATTAATAGCGTTGCAATTTTATTTGTAGATTAATTTAGAATTATTCTTATTTAATATTAGTTTTAGAAATTTTAATTTTAAGAATATTACTTTTAAGAATATATTAATTTTATAGAAAAATGTTAATTTTAAGAATGTTAGTTTTTTTTCAAGATAATATTTTTTGCAAATATTTTTTTTATCTGCAAAAAAAAGTTGCAGATAAATGCAAATTTATCGATTGAAATTACAATTTATCTGACAATTCCATTGTTCTATAACACAATTACCATATAAGCGGGCAATTCAAGTTCTAACACTGTGACTTTCCTGTGTTTGTAAGGATTCGATCTTGATATTAAACGAGAGGAAGGATATAATGTATTATTAGAGAATTATATTAGATTTGAAATAATATTGTTAGTCGTGTATATGTATATATCGGGTTTTATTTGATTCTTTATAACGGTATTTTACACGCTTGTGAACAAAATCTATTTACATGATATATTTTTTCCTTTCTTTTTTTTTTTTTAAAAAAATACGTTCATGAAATTCTGTCTTGATCAAGTTATATGAGACTTGATGTTGTATATATTTTTCTGCATTGCACTCTAAAGGTGTTAAGATCTTATTTTCGTTGCTTCAGGGTACATCAACTTGTTTCCAGAAGGTGGATGTTTTTTTTTTGCCCATCTCGTGTTTATATAAAGTTATTTTATATATAAATTTCTCTCGCTGACAATAATTTACTCTGGAGAATTTGTTTTGATTTTGATATCATCAAAGGCTTTTGATTGGATATTATTTTCTTTTTGATATCAAATTATATTGTTGATATATTTATTATTATTATTATTATTATTATTTATTAATATTTATTAATATTTATTAATATTTATTGATATTTATTAATATTTATTAATATTCTTATTTTTTATTAGTAGTAGCATACGGTACTGATTCTACAAATTGTTGTCTGACCGCAAATTTCCTTTACTATTGATATTAAAAAAATAATTTTTAAAGTCTGACTTAAATTTTATCTTTACTACTTATTCTAAAAAATTATTTTGGCCATTTTTGTCTGTTTCATACTGTCTTTTACTACTTGTAATAAAATTTGAATAATTTGGAAATTTATACCTGGTTCTAATTGACTTTTACTACTGATTACAACTGCCTTTTACTACGGATACTAAAATTTGAATTTAAAAAATACACTAAATTTTTGTCTGACTGCAACTTTCTTCTACTACTAATTCTGATATCACAAATTTGGTTATCTTTCTTAAATTAAATTTTTTTAAATTTTTCGCTTCTTCAAACAAATCTCAATTTACAGGCGATAATTTTTGACGCAAATATATAGACTGTCAAACGCCTTATATAATTGATATAATAGAACTTCATTTTGTGCGCCAAAAAAAAAGAAAGTTTCAATAGCCCATAGAAAAATTTGCATATGATTCTATCCACTTATACGAAATGAATCGCAAAAGTTCAAAAAGATTTTAGATATTATAATTAATGATCAAAATTCGAGCTCTCTTTTAATAAGCCCAGGCACATGACATGTGGTTAATTAAGACCCAATTGGGCGAGCGAACGTGTGTGTGAAACGAATATATTCGCCTAACAATGAATTAGCGTTAATCTTATTACAAGAGGAGGGGATATATTATTGATTACACTGACGATACAAGAGACTTATTATATTCTACAGAGAGGATTTTTTTTTAGGACCATAAATGACGTTTTTTTTACAAATATTGTGCACAATCATTTCCTTGTTCTCTTATCCTTCGATTAACCTTCACATTGCTATCATTGCACATTGAGTCATTTTTTTTCTCATCACAAAAACATATTTGCTGGAAAAAAAATATTTTATGTACACTTTGATATGTTTTCGTAGAAATATTTTATTACACACATATATTTTTCAAAAAAATTTGAAAAAAACCAAATTTTGCATGAATTAACCAAATATCCAAACATTTTGTTGTATCAAAAAATAAATTTGGGTCAATAAAATTATTTCTTTTTTCGAAAAATTTATTAAAATAAACCCAAAACGTTTATTTAGGTCGAATAAATATTTTATTGTATTAAATAAATATTTCCTTAAATCAAATATTTATTTGAATCAAATAAATATTGTCATGGTACTTTATTGAAACGAAAACGATTGTCTATATAAATTTTTGATATCGAGTTGATGGTTTCTTATGAATATATTTTTTTTTTTATCGATATATAAAAAGAGAGACTTTTTTTCGCGCCCCCCCCCCTTCTCTTCTACCATCACTTTAGACAAGCTTGTCCAAGTGCACTCACTGCACTTGACTTGAAGCTTAACATATTGTTCTTTTTATTTCATTTTTTTTCTTCTTCTATTTTTCTTAAATCCCCTTTATTCCAAGCCAGGTGGAAACTCATGTCTGCTATCAGGATTGTGTAAATATTTTGAAAGCGGTAAAACAAAAGCTTAGAGAAAATTCTCCTCTCGGGGTTTAGTTTTCCATTGAAACGTCAATATACATATATATAAGAGCTAATATGTGAGTGTGTGTTATCTTGAAAATTTTCCCCAATTTTTCTCTTTTTTGTTCGCTATAATTTTTTCCTTATATTTATATATATTTATCTTTTATATTTTTAATTTATTTAATTTTGTTAATAATTGCAAAATTTTGTAATATAATTTTATTTTATTTTTTGCGAATTTGAGAGAACAAGAAAAAAAAATTGGAACAATTCGTAACAATTCGCAACGAATTTTCTTTACGAGAGACAGAGGTCTGTTTCCCATAAATTTAGCGGACACGAAGGAAAGGGTCGACGTTATTTTCCCTCGGTATTATATAGTAAGCCCTCGATTTCTCGTATACGATATATACACCACATAGTCTACTCTCGCAATCGTTTTAGACTCCATACTGGAGAACCCTTAACTTCGTCAAGTGGCAGCTCTCTCTCTTTTTTTTTTGCAGATTCGTTTCAAAAGCCCCCCCATGCGCTTTTGGTTTTGTACGAAAAATTCAACGTATATTTTCATTTTCCAAACAATTTTTCCCATTTTCATAAAAATTTCCATATAGAGGTCCTTAAAAAATCCTTGCACTAATAATTCTGTTTCAATAAAAAAAAGATAATAAAAAATGCTAATAAATATTAATTATAATATTATTAATATTAATAATAATACTAATAATACTAATAATACTAATAATAATAATAATAATAATAATAATAATAATAATAATAAAAACAAGAAAATTTAAGGAAAATTATTTACAGTAATCTAAAAATATAGAAAAGGAGTTGAAAAAACTGATTTAAATCTTGAGGTAGGATAAAATATATTTCCGGGTAAAAGGAGAAATTTTTCATGGTCGCTTTTGATGTCAGTTCACGCGAAATTATTCATATTGATGTGGCAGCGAAAAAGCTGAAGAAAAAGTGATTCGAATTGTAAAAAAAAAATTTATATATATGCTTGAGGGCAAAAATCCGCGACGAAACTCGATTCGAGCGTGTATACATATATTTCCGTCGATTTTACGTCATACAACCCATTTAAAACGACTGGTCCAACAAAAGCGGGAGCAATAAAAAAAAAAAAAAAAAAAAATTTTAAGCGTCATGCACGTGCGTATAAAATTATCCCCATATTTTTGAATTTAATGATTTCATTTCAATATTAGCTTTTGAACTTAAAAACTTTAATCACATGCTGTTAACCAGCATTTTCAAATGGAAAAAATAACTCGGATAATACCATTAATATACATATATTTATAGTGTCTCGCGTATATTTCTCCATATATAAAATTTTTAACGCTTTCGTAAATTTGGATTTTATATTTTTTGCACGGAAGAAAAATTATTATTATTATTATTGCACGTAGAGAATAAAATTGAAAATAAAAATTTTAATAATTTTGAATGTTCCCGTGTAGAAATTGCCTGACCAGGGCCATAGTAGGGAATGAAACGCTGATCAGGGGCAAATTAGGGCGAAAATGTATTTCCTAATCAGGGCCACATCAGGCGCGCCTATTCCCTAATAGGACAGCCTGATCCGGCCCCAATTTGGGGTAAAATTTCTGCACTGGTTACTTTCACAACAATAATTAGAAAATAATAATAACAAATTATTATCTCGAATCAAATTTATTTTTTTTTTTTTAATTATCTACTTGTATCAATTAAATCAAATATATCGTGTATGTATTTATATATCTTGGAAAATGAATTTTTAAGATTTTAAAAGTCCGAGGTTGAAAGTACCCTCAACTTAAAGATCAAAAGGAAGTGCATTGTGTAGAAAATGGAAAGCTTGTGGAAAGGCGATAGTCTCGTGTTTTATTCAGAGCCTCTTGCTCGTCCTTTGTTTTCAAAGAAGGTAGTTTCGAGTAAAAGTAGGTAGTTCTTCACTAAACGAGCATTAAACTTGTCAATGACGAAGACGTCGCATTTATGATATCGCGTGTGACAAAAAAAAAAAGGTGTGAATTTTTTTTTTTTTACTCTCTTTTTTTTCTCGTTACATTTTTTTTTTTTTAAACTCGATCATGCGGTTATATGGAACATAAGTCATAGACTTGTGTTCATGAATAGAAATAGCCGTGTCACCCGAAGGAGTCATATTTCTTCGCAGCTCGTCGAGACTCTTCATCTTCTTCTTCTTTTTTTTTCTCGCAATAGTGATCATCTAGGCAGA